ACTCCTCCTTTATCTTCTAGAAAAGGAGGCCATTGTGTGCAGAATACCAAGAACTCAGAGAGAAAAGCAGAGGCGAGTCTGAGTGTCGGTGCTGAAACTGGAGAGATAACTGCAGTATATTTCATCATTGGAGACCTGCAGTCGTCTTCCCCCGGTCCTTTTATTGGACCACTTCAGATCAATGCAGAATGAAAGCTGCAGGTTCGGAGATTATCTGACTCAGTCATCTGGTTATCACAGTTTGATTTTTTGTCCAATTTCCTCAAAGCCTTATGCTTGTTCATTATTCCTGCTTCTAATGCATCAATTTTGAGGACAACCTGTCAAACGTACTGCTGGTTATTACCCCACTAGCATAAAGAAGAGATTTCTGAACTCTTCCTGAGCTAAAACATTAGTATTGTTGTTTCTAAATAAATATTAATTTGCTTTCTTTGCAGTGTTTGAAACAACTAGATCATTTTGGTTCATTTTGACCATTTCTCATTTTCTGCAAATAAACACTAAATTTTAGTTTGATATTTTAGAGACATGTCTGTAGTTCATAGAATAAAAGAACATGATCCATTTTACTCAAATATAAACCTATAAAAAGTAAAATAAAAGAAAATAATTATTTCATCTCATGACTGTTTCTAAAACTGGTTGAAATAATCTCTGTTTGTTCTTCTGCAATAATTTATATACGTCAGTAATAATGCAACGGTGAAGTTTGCCATCGGCGGCTTTGCTGAATTTTTATTCTCGTTATTTGTGGTCATTATTTGTGACAGGAAAGCTTCTTGTGGGGGTGGAAATGTTGCTTTAGGCGAATATGACCAAAACAAATCATCATTTTCTCTGGAACTGTCCAGTTTGTCTAAAAAAAGAGAGAATGAGACAGTTTTGGCCAATCAAGGAAATGAGACAGCAGATAAAACAAATCCCCTTAAACCAGGTTAGCTGGTGAGTAGGAGTGTATTTACAAAAACAATTGTGTAAAGTTAGGAAACATGTGATTGCAACAGATGAAACACTGAGTCACTAATGCTGCCATCATCTGCTGCATGTGTCAGTAACAGCATTACTAGTTTACTTCCTACTTTTGCTCTTCCTATCAGGCAACGATTTTGATTTATGATTGACCTTAAAAGGATCTTAAGACATTTTCTGATGGGTTTATAAACCGACAGGAGATGAAGATCAGCTCATTTCTCACTCTTGGTTCTTCAGACAAGCAGCTTTTGTTTCTTTACTTCAACATAAAACTCGTGAGGACCATCATCATGACTGCAGCTTTTATTTTCTTCTTCTTCCTCTCAGTGACGGATGTCTGTCTGGTAAGTTTGGGATTTCTGGTTTAATTTCCTCAGCTGACAGAGACCAAAAAAAAAAAACAAATATTGACAAACATACTTTCTACAAAATATATGTTTCTAATTATGGAATCGTAAAGAAAAGATTAAAGCTTATTAATCCACCAAAGGTTTGTTAACTGGCTCTTAATGTGTAAATTTGCGTTTGTGTTGCAGAGTGCTCCAGCTGAAATGAAAAATCAAACTGGTGAGTTGAAAACGAAGCTTTACTCATGTGAAACGTAAATATTTAAACTTAAAGATCTTCTGATTTCTCTTTCAGATGATTTCACAGACGACGACTCAAGGCCCAAAGTTGACTTAGGTAACTAAAACTTCAAAAAACACAAAATTAAACTCAGATAAACATTTAAAGAGAAAGCCAATAAAATTTCCAGCTCTGATAAATACATTTTAACTCAAGAAATTTGCTTCTGAACATTTCTGTCACTTGAAAACACAGAAGTAATTTTGTTCAGGATGACGAGTGCAAAGGCCCCATTTCCGCTTTCAGACTAACGGCAAAGAAAACATTAAATATTAGATAAAAATGCTTAAATTTCTTATAATGCTTTGATTTTATTAAGTTAAATTACATGTGTAGTTTGGATAGCTCTGAAATATCAAATTACAAAATGTTTGCATTGTTTTAAAATTGCTGTTTTTACATGAAGCAAATTTATCTTCAAATGATCAAATCGCTCAATTATGTGATCAATGGAAATGAAGAATGTCAGGAGTAAATCAAAAGGAAAAACTAATAAAGAAAAAAAAGAAAAAGTCACAGAAAGTGATTCTTTTTATTTTTACTTCAAATTTTCAATTGTACCAACATTTATGTTCATCTATTCTTTCTATTTTTTGCTGTAGAAAACCTGGTTCTCCACGGAGACGTTGCCGTGACAAACAGCGCTTTCAAGAACGCCGACCCGTGTACGGCCAGAGGCTGCATGTGGCCCAAGTCTGGCCGTTACGTCTACGTGCCTTACCAGATCGGCCCTGAGTTCTGTAAGCAGTTTTAGCTTTAATTTACAAACTAAATGTTTTTATTAAGCTATTTACTGGATGTAATTTTTCTGTTATTTGTAGCCCAGAATGAGAAGAACATCATCATCAGAGGCATGCAGAGCTTCACCCAGACCACATGCGTTCGATTTGTCCCAAAACGTTCTGCTGATCGAGATTACATCCGATTCTTTTCTAACGGAGGGTAGGAAACAAACATCACTGTTCCTTTAAACTATTTATTTAAACTCTGCCGCTGCGGGTGGAGGCGGCTCCATCCTCGGTTTCTGCTGTATTTCCATTGACCACAAAATGATGCAAACTGAAATTATGACAATAAATTTGGTGAATGGAAATAAGGCAATTTTGTATTTCGTAAACATTGGAAACACTTTTACCATAACACGAGTCCCGTGATCAACAAGGTGACGTTACTACTGGAGCAAACCACGAAGAAGAAGACAACAGGAAGTAGTTGGAGGACGATGTCGCAGCATGTTTTTGACGATATGAACAACCTTATTCACATGTGAATTTATTTGTGTCTTATTTAATATACACAAAAAATTATCAGATATTTGTGAGGAAACACAGCTTGTGTCTTGTTCACAAACCAAGTAACACTAATGACACAACGGTGCAAATTTCAAAATCTGAGAATTTTGTATTTTCAATATTTGTTGTTTTTGTTGCCCTCAGATTGTAATATTGAAACCTGAATGCAAAAAGATTTTTACATTCAGACTGATGAATAATGGCATATAAAAGTAAGAGCGTCTTTGTGCAGGTGTTGGTCCAACATCGGGCGTCAGCGCGGCGGACAGTACATCTCTCTGAACAGAAGAGGATGTGTGGATCACGCCACAGTGCAGCACGAGATTCTTCACGCTCTGGGTTTCCACCATGAGCAGGTCCGCTCCGACAGAGACAACTACGTCCGGATTCTCTTCAACAACATTCAGCAAAGTCAGTAGTTAAAGTTTTAACAGTTTATTAAAAATCGTAAAAAGCAATAATACTTTTAAATTCTGTAACTCTTTCAAAATTGTCTCCGGATTCATGAACAGGACAGAGGGGCAATTTCAGAAAAGTTCAGACGAACAACTTAGTAACTCCCTACGACTTTACCTCGGTCATGCATTACGGCAAGTGAGTATTGATGATTTAAATTGCATCCCTGTCTGTTAAAAGCGCTATTTAAAAACAAATATCAAGTACGAAGATATTTCAACTTTTAAGATTTCTTCTTTTAAGTTAGATTAGGTTTCTCTTGACAGGGTTTTCAGGTGCAACATGCAGATACATGATGCACGATGCATCATGGATCTGATGCATCATTATATATGATGCATCATGTATCTGATGCATCATGTAAACATAAACCAGTCTGTCTGTTTTCCTCTCCATCGTTACCAAAACCTCAAGATGATTCAACTCTTCAGCTGTTTCACAGTTTTTGATCAAAGTGTAAAAACTATCAGGTTTTAGTTTTGTTTGATTGCTAAAAGGACTAAATCTTATTTACATTAAAGGAAATTAAAAACTTACTCATGCCTCTATGTATTTGACAATATTTGAATAATACTTTTAAAACCGATAACCTGTAAATCTCAGATTCCACAATTTCATTTGAGGCTGAGTTTATCTTTTAAATCCCATTTAAAAACTGACTTTTTTACATTGATTTAACTCAAACATATTTTTTAATGTAGCTTTGTCTCCCTGTTCAGACAGTTTTTCTTGTGTTTATTTTAGTTTGCTCATTTTGTTGAACCATCATCCTTTCGTTGTTTTTTTGTGGTCTTACTTTGCATCTGCTCCTGTTTTCTGTAAGATACGACTTCTCCAGTAACGGTCGGCCAACCATCGAAGCAAAATCAAATCCTAACCAGAGGTTTGGAAACGCCCGTCAAATGAGCGCCAATGACATCCGTCGAGTCAACAGGCTTTACAAATGCGGTAAGTTAAAAAAAGAGAAGAAGCCAGTGTGCATTCTCCTTATTTGTTGTTCTTGTTTCTTTATGAACATGATTTCTTCCCGTTTGACCCAGATACTTCTCGCTACTGAAACTCAGCGTCTCGAAGCACCAAATATGGAGCCACACTCCTGCCAAGTTTAAGAAGAAAATAATTTTAAAAGTCTGTTTTTTCGCATTCACATTTTCATCAAAAAAACTATGGGAGGCTTTTTAAAATAATAGCATATTGTAGATCCACAGTTTTTCTGTTTTAATGTATTTCTTTGTTCTCTTGTAAAAAGGAATAATAAAATTTTGCATCACAACTCTAAAGCTCTTTAATTGCTTTTTTAAAATATATGATTGTTTAAAATTACTCTATAAACGTCTCTAAAAGGTGTCAATATTAAAGTGGTATTTTCAAGATTTTAATAATGTAGAACAAATAAAAATGACGTCAGCGGTAAAAGGTGACTGGACCTTCCTCCAACAATTGATCATATTTAAAAACTAAAAGTGTTTCTGCAGCAACGACAGCATTTTTGGAACAGACAGCAGGTCAAAGTCTAGTCAGTATGACACTTTAAATAAATGTAAACCACGGAAATGATGCATATGCTTTGGCTTTAATAGTAATTTGTACAGAATAAATGATATGAAGGAAATGTGAACAATATTTAGTTTTCTTTCAACATCTAACACATTAATTAAATTGAACTTTTTATTTGTTTGTTTTTTTAACATAGAAATAAAGTGAACTTTTTTCTTTCTGTTTCCTGCATGAGGCGAACCAAAGAAACAAGGGAAATGCATGCATGAGCATGCTAGTTTATGAGTCAGTTTTTTATAACCAGGGTAAATGTGACATATTTCTCTGATTGCATGTCGTTTATGTCGTCTAGAAGGGAAGTTGTTGATTTTTAGGACGTTTGGGCCTGGAGGCCGACTTCTTCAGCCCAGAATATCCAGCTGAGGGAACAAACAGAACCGGGTCATTAGCATGTTTGGATGTCAACAGATTCATTTATGCATTATGGTTTACTCACTGCATCCATAGAGTAGGTTAATGCGGATGATGTCATTGGCACTCATTTCCTTTGAGTTTCCAAATTTAAGGTTTGGATTACACCTGGCAACGATGGTTGGTTTTCCATTTTTAGAGAAGGCGTCACTGAAAATAAGTCATTCAGTTATTATTGGCAATTATCAAAGTAGTTTACTGCTTCACATCACAAAGCAGGAAAAAATAAGTTAATTAAAAAACTCACTTCCTGTACTCCATGACAGAAGTGAAGTCATAAGGAGTCCCCAAGTTGTTCGTCTGCTTCTTTTCAAAAGCAAATTTAAAATCTATACCAGAATTCAGAGCAGAGGAAAACCTTTACGCATCATTTCTACAGACATGTGAGTCAATTTGCAGCTTTTCCTTGTGAACTGACTGGGTTCGATGTTGTCAAAGAGGATCCTGACGTATTTGTCTCGGTCGGACCGGACCTGCTCATGGTTGAAGCCAAGAGCATGAAGAATCTCATGCTGTACAACACTGTTGTGCACGCAGCCTGGTTTCTCCAGGGACAAGTACTGTCCCCCATCCCGACGGCCCACATAGGACCAGCACCTAAATGTCAAAGCACAAAATATCTGCAGTGGCACAAGGTTTGGTACAAACTGTCAAGGTTTGGTACAAACTGTCAAGGTTTGGTACCATCAGAGAAGGCGGAACATCACAATCAAATCACACATGTAAAAGTTCATCGTAGCAAAAGTTCCTCTAAAAGTACATTTTTAAAATAAAGTTACCAAATAATTGTAACCAGTTGCTTCATGGCTCTAAAACAAATCACGTCTTAAATACATGAAGTTTTAATTCTTGATAAGAAAAATCTTTAAAAAATTAAAAATGTAAGGTGCAGTATTGGCCCGGAAGTTTCTATTATTAAGTGTGTGTGTGTGTGTGTGTGTGTGTGTGTGTGTGGGGGTGTGTGTGTGTGGGTGTGCGTGTGGGGGGGTGTGCGTGTGTGTGCGTGTGCATGTGTGTGTGTGTGTGTGTGGGTGTGGGCGTGTGTGTGGGTGTGTGTGTGTGGGCGTGTGTGCGTGTGTGTGTGTGTGTGTGTGTGTGTGTGTTCCCACCCATCCTTTGACTCGATGTAGATGTGATCACGATCCCCGGGTTTCCACGGGACGAGGCGGATGCAGGTGGATTGGTTGAAGCCCTGCAGTCCTCTGATGATGACGTCACGCTCCTCCTGAGCTACAGACCAGTGGGAAACGTGGAACTTTGAGTAAAGTTACATGATAACAAAAAAAAAAGCTAATTATATGTCAGCTTTCATGAGTCTAAGGTGAAACCAAAGATTCTTACAGAAAGTTTCAGAGATGTAATACGGCACGTAAACGTAGCGTCCTGATTTTGGCCACTTGCAGCCTGTGTCGGTGCATTTATCTGCATTCCTGCTCAAAGTGTTCGGCACGGCGATGTCACCCTGCAGCACAGCTGTTTCTGCAACACAGCAGAAAGAAAATGCAACACACTGTATGGGGAAGTGTGAATGGTCTCCACTGTGTCTGCTTGTTGTGAAAAATGTGTCTTTTTAGTTGCAACATGTACTATTAAATAAAACCAAACCACAAATTAACAAATTTGACTAAGCAAGTGTTTGCACCTGCAATTTGGTTCCTTTTATTGTGACTATTTTGACTTTCTGTTTTGAAAAATTGTCTTACTCAAGTCAGCTTTGGGTCTTGGAACGATTTCAGGATAATCTGGATAGAAACAAGTAAAAAACAGATTTAAAGATTTAAAGATCAATGAATCAAATGTTAGGGATATCACTCCACTCACCACTTTCATAATCGTCAACCGGTGCATTCTGCAACACAAACAGAAACAATTTCAACAAATGCAAACTTTAAAACAACCAAACAGATTAAAAGTTCCTAAATGTTTTTGGTTGCATCAAATTTTAAACATTGCAGAGTTAAACTCACCAAAGTGACATCCGCCACTGCGAAGATGAGGATGAAGAGCAGAGCTGGAGTCATGACTCTGACAGCCAACGCTTCAGCAGTGATGGAAGAGAAGCTGCAGTTTAAAAGAGCAGAAGTCTGAAACTGTGCAGCCAATGCTCAGCTCTCCTGCTTATAAGACCTTCACTCAAATCAAACACGGACCATTTAAGGCCAGTCAGTCTGTGCCTTTATTTCTGATAGGCTGAGTTAAAACCCACAACATGTAGTTGCTGTTGCAAGAATCTTGCCCGTATGTGATTTCACCTTTACCCTTTATATGACGTTTTACAGCAGCAAAAAACTTTCTCTGTCCTTACAGTCCAGACTTCTGTACTTTCCAGGTTATTTGTCTCTATGCACAACTCAAAGTCACATTTTAATGTCAGACAAATAAAAGCATTTCTTCTAAAACAAAGAAAATTGTCCATAACTACTGTAGGTAAAGTTCAGAACGTGTTTGTTTTGTGCAGTAATAGCAGAATGCATCATGGCATCTGAAACATTTCTGCCAAGAAGTTAAAAGTCGGCCATGTTGTTTCCATCACCACCAAACAGAAAGTTGATTCAGCTCCTGCATGAATTGTCTCATTTCATATTTTAAATGGCTCCAGTTGACACTGTCTATGAGTTGTTGGTCAATATGGATAAAATTAATTGAACTGTTGGAGTTTTAACCATTTTTATTTAGTTCTTTATTCATTTGCAGCTTCCTGTTTTCGGTGACGGTTCTATGGAAGCCGCACAGAAGGAAATACATTTAGAAATACATGAAGAAACAAAATTACTTAGTAAAAGAACTGCTTCAAAAATACCCAGGAAGAGTAGAAATGTTGTAAGTTTATACACTGACTTTGCTCATGTCTGTGACAAACACAAACAATTTAAACATTCATTCATTTTGCAGGTTTAAATGTAAGATCTGATACATGCACAGAATAAATTCATTGTGTAGGGAGTCCACAGCGCTGCGTCTGCTCCGGCTTCCTCAGAAACTGTACTGTACCTCGTTACAATTTAATTTCAGACACAAAACCACGAATATTTATTTTTTGAAAGCATTTTGTACATTTTGAAAATGGATGTTTTTATTTTTTAACATTTTTTATACATATTATTTCGAGTGAAATCACGTTTTACTTTACTGAGATTACATTAAGCAGTCACAGTGATCCTGTATTAACATAACCAAGACTTTATTTTGGATGTTCTGTTTTTTTTGTCTTTTTTAGAATGATTTAAATTCATTCACACAGCTTTAATGGAATTCAGTTATAGTTGATTTTAACCCTCTGATAAACTATTCGCTTCTACCTGTGACAGAACAATCCGCTGCAAACTGTAAAACCCATTCCTTGATTCCTTGATTACTTTATTCCTTGATTCATTGATCCTTGAGGGTGGTGTCCATTTTTATTTTCCGAAATTATCTGAAAGGATTAACTTTTAAGATAATGCTCATATGTTTTTATTTTGTCCTGATTCAGAAATATTGCATTGAACAGAACCTTATTGTACAGTTTCCTTGTATTCGTTTGCAGGTCATTTAAAGGGGAAGCCATGCATGGCCATACATGGCCATGGTCATGGCCTGTGAAAACCCAAACGGTCGAGTTCAGCCACTCCCTGTGAGCTGCATAAAAACGGAGACGAGGCGAACCTGAACTCCATCCTGCATCAAACTCCTGCAGCATCTGGAAGGTTCTCAGCTTCTTCCTCCTCACAGCATGATGATGTCACTCAGCTGATAGTTCATTTAAACTTGCTTTTTGCATTTTCCTTATTTTGGATGCATGTGTGTAGCTTTGCACATCTTTGCAGATGAATTCCTGTCTGTGTTTTGACTTCAGGTCATCTTCATCATGATTCCTGCCGTCCTCTTCCTCCTTTTGCTCTCAGTGACGAATGTCCTGCTGGTGAGTTTGAAATAAAGGGGTAAACTTGGCCTTTAATGAGATAAAGTTGAACTCTGCTGCAACTTTACTCTTGTAATTCTTGAATTAAAGACGGAGTTAAAATAAACTATCATCTGAAACTGTGAAAAAATATTGTAAATTTGGTAAAAGAGAAATCCAGGGTGAAAAACAGAAATCTTCTGCTTTTAGAAGAAAAACTGTTAAAATTAACCATGAAAATCATTTTTAGCAGAAAAATTAACATCATTTTTATTTTTTTTATCTTTTTATTTTTGTTTACAGACCTCACCACTTGAATCTGGTGAGTTAAACAAAATCTGCATAGAAATGATAAAAATGTTTAAATAACGTCATTATTTTTTTCTTTTTTCAGGGGCATCATGTCTTTATAAATGATGAAGAGAAAGAAAGTTTTAGTGTTGCTAAAAGACCAATGTGCAACAGTTATTAACAGAATATTCATAATTTAAAGAAACATTCTGATGAAGTCATTGAGAATTGTGGCAAGTTGCCCGAGACTCAGGTTGCATTATTTACGTCCTTATTTCCATTAGTTGTTGCTTGGGCTTGTTTAGAGAGACAATGCTCAATGAAATCAGCCATTATTTTAGTATTGATGTTGATTTTGGGGTGTTATGTTTGATTTGCAGTAGAAACCCCCGAGCTGCTCGATGACATCGCCGTCCCCGACACTCGGACCAGGAATGCTGACCCCTGCACCGCCAGAGGCTGCAAGTGGCCCAAATCCGGACGCTTTGTGAATGTTCCCTACGAGATCGCCTCTGACTTCTGTGAGCAAAACCGGCTGGATGATTATTTACATGAAGCAAACAATGTTGCCTTAATATTGATTTTATTTAACTGAAACTTGTTAAGTATTCTACTGACTCAACGTATCTGTAACTACGAAACAACGCAAGTGCATCACTGATGGCCTAAAGAGCTTCCATGGATGCACCTGCATTCGGTTTGTCCCAAAGAGGTCCTATCATCGCGATTACATCCGTTTCTTTTCAGGCAACGGGTATGAACACACACACACACCTACACACACTACACACACACACACACACACACACACACACACACACCCCCACACACACCTACACACACACACACACACACACACACACACACACACACACACACGCATTCAAATCCATGCAATTCTGTGCAAACTGTGGACTTTGTTTTAACTGCCATTTATTTTAGTAGCTGTATTTCTGCCTAAACCAGGCATTTTTCCTAACCCTAATCTTTGCTGGTCTATTCCTAAACCTAATTTTAGCCCAAACTTAATTCACTCCATACCTCTAATTGTGGCTTTTCTGCTAAAAACAAAGCATGTTTAACACGTTTAGTGTTTTTATCAACTTTGCAAAAATTCCTCATAATGAGCATTGATGAGGAAACAGTAAAAATAAAATCAGCACCAGCACACCTCAACCGACTGGGGATTTAAGAATACACAGCATACACTGCAAAAACCAAATGTTTATTTCCAATATTCGATATCTTAGTACAACTGAAAAACAACCAAAATAACTTAGAAATGACTTTTCAGCATGAGGCTTGTTTTCGGTAAATAATGATGAAATAGTGCTTGATCCACTGGCAGATTATTTCACTTGTAATGTGAAAAATGTTTGGTTTGAAGTGAAATAGTAAGCCAAAGGAAATAAAACTTTAACAATATTAAACAATAATTTACTAAAACAAGCTCCTTCGTCATGCTGAAAAGTTCATTTTTCTTATTTCACGTGTACCAAACACAGAGACGCACTGGTCCAGGAAAACGCTCTGTGAGAAAAGCTCCTTTAGTTGCTTCATGGAGGAGAGAAACACAAAACAGGAAGTCGCAGCCAAGAGCAGCACAACCACAAATAATCACACGAGAAACAATAATTCAACTTTTATTGGGTCCCAGCCTGAGAATGTCATTATTTCCTAAAGATATGTTTAAAGTACTGTCTATATTCCAGGTGTTGGTCCTATATTGGACGTCAGGACGGAGGACAGTTGATCTCTCTGCAGAAAAGCGGCTGCCTGTCTCGGTCCACAGTGCAGCACGAGGTTCTTCACGCTCTGGGCTTCAACCATGAGCAGGTCCGCTCCGACAGAGACAAATACGTTTGGATTCAGTACCAGAACATCATCGAAGGTAAGATTGAAGACAAAAGAATCAATTTCATTGTTCAGTTCTTCACTTACACAGATAAAAATAAAAGCTTTAGCAAATCTATATCTGTAAAACTTTATTCAGAGTTACATTCCCACAAAAAGTTTCAAAAGTTTGTGTAGAAATTATTAGATGTGTAAATAAAATAGTGATGCAAACAGAATCAGCAGGATCCCTTCACCTTGAAGAGCCGTTCAAATGGTTCATTATAAAAATGTACATATTTCTATAAATGAGAGATTTTATCCCTGATATATTTTAGATTTTCAGGAACCTGACATGTGAGGATGAAGTTCACAAAACATTTTATTCAACTGGGTCAAATAAAAGGAATATTTTTGCTCAAAATGTGCAAAATAGAACCGGTCAGTTTAGCAGAAAATGTGTACATGTATATTTTGATAATATTAAGTATATAGCATAAAAATATAAACATTAAATACCCAAGAAGTTCATTCTTATGGGTTTTATGTGAATTAATAGCATTTTAGTTCTATTTTTAATATAGAAACTAAATAAAATATCAAACAGAAGATAAAAAAAAAAACTACACTTGATTCACTACTTTAACTTTAACAACAGTCACTTCACCATAAGTTTAACTCACAACTGTGACTGAATGTTTCTCTGTCTTGAATCCCTGGATAGGAGAGAAGCACAACTTTAACATAAAGCAAACCAACAACCTGGGGACTCCATACGACTTCAAGTCTGTCATGCAATACTCCAAGTGAGTCTTTATGAGCGTGCAGGAATAAAGTATAAAGTTTGCTCTGCTTCATTATCTTCACTGTATTTGTTTTTTTGTTTGTTTTGTTTTTAAAGCAAAGCCTTCTCCAAAAATGGGAAACCAACCATCGTTGCCAAATGCAACCCAAAGCTGAAGTTTGGACACGCCGAAAAAATGAGCGTCAACGACATCGCCCGCGTCAACCGGCTTTACCAATGCTGTAAGGAAAAACAACAAATATATATGATAAACAACTCTCTGTCTAGATCAAATTACTTATCATTTTTTTATTTTTTCTTGTTGTTTTTACCCAGAACTCCTCAGACTGAAGAGGTCGGCCTCCTGCTGCTGCTGCTGCTGCTGCTGATCTGAGGCCTCACACCAAAAACCTGAGCTGGCAGGAATATATAATATTCTTCTGTCCTTTTCTTTAAATGAACAAGTGGAAATCATTTTCCTGTCTGGTTTTGGAAAAGTTTTGTGTCACCAGGTGGATCAAAATTTTGTTGCATGTTGGCCTTAGAAACAAACAGAAAGCATATATACTGTCTATAATCGCCACATTTATTTCCCTGCTTTTATGTTTTTGCTTTGATCATCAGAGAATATAATTAATTTGCATAATAAAGAAGCATATTTCAAAGAAAAGATTACAGTGGATTTATTGTTTGGATTTTTGCTTGAAATAGAGGATTAGAGGCTCTGAAAAAAAAAATTTTCAGAGCCTCTGAAAAAACAAAAAAAAAATTTCAGAGGCTCTGAAAATATACAATATTTAGAACATATATTTTCACACACACACAAATATATGAGTAAATATGTATATTTACTTCAGTGAATGATCATAGTTGAATGACAGTCAAAACACTCATACAGACACTGATTGTACTTATTTACCAATTTAAAAGTAAAGAAAGTTCAACATGTTAATTGTACTCAGGTACAAAAGTGCAAAATATTCAACAAATATTTGGCAACAGTGGAAAAATATTTATTTTAAATAAAATGATAAAAATCCTACCTCTTGGTTTAATCAGATCTGCTTTATCATCTTTTCATTGGATTGCACAAGTTTAGGTTAAATTAAAAATGTAGTTGATGATTTTTCATTTAGCTGATTTTGCTCATTTTACAGCACATTTTGCCTCAAAAATATGTATTATTTAATCTTTCTGTAAAATGTATCACATCAAATATCAATAGTGTGGGGATATTAAAATAAATATCCCCACCGATCCCTTCACAGAAAATGATTTCAACACAACATTTTTTTTAAATGTGCTTCTTTATTTGGTAAATGAATGAATATTGCTGCAGAAGTGAGCGCTGCAAAGCAGAATTTAATTTTTTCCTGTAACATTTCTTTCAGTAATTAATTTAAGTCATTGAGTCACTTAAATACCAAAGCAAATTCACAAAAGCGACATGATTTTTTTATGCAGCTTCTGGAGGCCGACGTCTTCAAACCATAAATTTCTGATTGACAAGAAAGCAAAGATGAAAAATGATAAGTAATTTGATCTAGACAGAGAGTTGTTTATCATATATATTTGTTGTTTTTCCTTACAGCATTGAACCGGTTGATGCAGGCGATGTCGTTGACGCTCATTTTTTCGGCGTGTCCAAACTTCAGCTTTGGGTTGCATTTGGCAACGATGGTTGGTTTCCCATTTTTGGAGAAGACTTTGCATAAAATATACAGTGAAGAATGTTTTAGTCATCTAAATCTAATTTCCTTATAAGGTCAATAATTTGCTTTCTTTTTAAAAATGTCTCATAACCAAGACAAGTGGGAAGTGTTGCATTAATAGAGTTTTTTATCATTTTGTATAGATTTAATGCAACTTCCTCTTTAAGCAACAAACAGCAAATGAATACAAGGAAACTTCAAAACAGTTCAAAAGAAAGCAGAAGATCCTGTTCAATGCAATATTTCTAATAACTTATGTGTTGCATTTTTTTCATCTGGTCTTATTTATGTAACACTTTTCAATAGTTTCATTGTATTTCTTACTGACAATACAGTAAAAAAAGAGAAAAAACTAATTAAATCCTTTCTGTGGTAAAATCACACATTCTGCTCGCCACGATAATTTTTCACCGCTCATAAAGTGAACAGTGGGTATTACAGTAGCATTTTAAAAGTAAATCCATTCAAATTATCTTTGAAAACATTTGCTTATTAACTCAGCAAATGTTTTCATTTTATTTTGATTCTGTTCCTTTTTTTAGGGTCATTTAAAGAAGCTCACACAGAGAAGCTGATTTTATCTTTTGGGGGAACTTGGTTTGCTTTTCTTAGCCTGTGCTAACCTTATTACCACAAAGCACGTTTTCATCCCTAGGTGCATGAGGACAGAAGCAGCATCAACTCCCAGAACATCACAGACTCTTGGTTTCTGTAGATGAGAGAAGAGATGTTCATGTTAAAGCCACTGCAGCAAAATGCAGAAGGAGAAATTGGAAAATAATGTTGCAAGATTAAGCTTCTTCTTTTCAATCAGGTTGAGTTCTGGTCTTGAAACACACTGATTAAATTTTAGTTTTCTGTATTCTGGATTATATTTCTATTAATTTGCTCCGAGTTCGGCACCAGGTTTCAGGTGTCTGGCTCAACAAAAAGTATATTTCACTGACGTTTTGCTGATGTATCAGCATAAAGTACTGCATAGTTGTAAAAAAAAAAAAAGCAACAATAATGGCTACCTCCTTCTAAACATGTATGTTCATATTATGCAGGTTTTTCTACTTCCAAATATTTCTTGTGTGCCTGTGAACGTGACGGACGAGCGACAGCGATGGACAGCGAAGTCGCTTCTCATGGTCTACTCTCAGTTTCTTTTTAAAAACAAAAAACAATTTTGTTGTCGTTCAAGCTGTGCTAAAAGGAGTTAGCCAATCAACAAAGCTAAAATAGCATCTCAATGCTGAAGACATAGCAGCAGCATTGATGTTAGCATCCATAGTCCTCATTCACAAAGAAGCTTCATGAATGATCAGGGATTCCTGAAACACTGGAATGGGTGGAATAGCACTTTGCATTAATCTGATAGTTAAACAATCTAAATAACACATAAAAAACAATATTTATCTCATTAAATAATTTAGCAGCAAAAATGGTTTTTGAATGAAAAATTTTGTTTTTTGATTAAAATGCAACATATTACAGACCCTGCAATTAATTCAAATAAAAATTTTAGTTGAGTCCCGACTCTACGATCTCAAACCGAGACGGTTTAACATGAAGAAACGCCCAGCAGAAGCAGAGCCTGAGGGTTCAGACGGCGCCCATCTGATAGCAGATGGTTGGGTTGTGGTTACCAACTCTGGAAATGAAACTGAAACTAACTGGGTACTGACTGCTAGTCCACCATTATCTAATGATGACCTCATCCAGCTCAGTATCTAATTGTTGGGAAATACATGATAGTTTGGACACAGAATAAACTTCCTTCTTTCAGTGATGCTGAGAAAAAAGCTCTATGGATTTGTTACTTCAGGGTTAGATCACTGTAATTCTTTACTACCAGAAAGTTGACAAAAAAAGGCTTCAGCTGATCCAAAACGCTGCAGCAAAAGCTGACGGAAATCAAAAAGGGAGAAAATATTTCTGCTGCTCCAGCTTCTGCTTAGTGGCTCTGTGTTAAATTCAGAATTTAAGGTTCTCCAACCAGATATTTGCATACACTAACTAAGGAGACATTTTGTCCTCACCGTCTGCAGTTAAATTAGACCAAACGTTTTCTGATTCAGCGTAAGTTTTTGTAACTTTTCTCATATTCAAAATTGTTCACACCTTTTAAACTAATTACCTTTAATGCTGTATTAATAATTCTTTTTAATCAGGCCTAAATTTCTGTTAAAAATCATTTTCTTAAATTGGTCTAATCTACAATGTTTTCATTCCAGGTCATGGAACCAACAGTAACTTGTGATAAATTAATGTGTTTCACTTTGATAACTGAATGACTGAAATAAGCAATTTTTTCACTAATTTACTGAATTTAATCAAAATCTATAATTAAATAACCAGATGACGCTTCTCTTTAAACATCCATCTTCCTACCAGAAGGAGGCAGTAGCGCGCCGCTGCCTCCCTTCTGCAGTTTGTGTGATAGTTGAGGATGAAGCAGAGGATGCAACGCGCCGTAAACATTTGCTACAAATGATCAATTTAAGCAGCTGTCAGAAAATTAGAGTGAATAAACAACCCTCTGGAATTATATTAGTGGCACAAAGTGAAATTTACTGGATCATAAAATGCACTTAAGTGGGAATGTTGTGTTCAAAGAAACCAAACTCTTCATCAGTCACGCCTTTCTGAATTTAATTTCTAGTCGTTTTGTTTTTCCTGCAGGCATCATGCCACCTCATACTTTCCCACCTTCACTTTCTAAAGGTGACAGTGACTCAGAGTCAGGATTTGCTGCTGCAGGGAGGAATTTATAGATATATGCATCTGGGCCTGTTCTTCTGTTCATCTTAGCACTTTTTCTAATTTATTTTAAGTCACAGGAGCAAATACAGTGTAATTTATGTGTCCAAGACACACAAATCAATGAAAATAAAAAAATTTCATGGCTTTAACCATTTATTGAACTAAAAAATCTAAAAAGTGTGGCATGGATGTTTATGTAGAGAGATTTATTTTGGTACTTTTTCTGAAAAAATACCCGATGGGAATCCATTTTGGAAATGAGGTTTACCAGAACAAAACCACTTTTAAAACTGGGCCCACATGTTTGTTTGTAAGTTTACATTTTCCCACAAGTTGCCCAAAATGCAGGCATTTCTGTTTCTTGTGTAATTTCTCCAACATGTTGGTCCTTTACACCTTGAACCATAACAAATAGTAATATTTATTCTGAAGCACATAAAAATACTTCAGCTTCAGGCTTTTGAAATGTCAGGATTTATACATTTGAGCCATTTTCTAACTGTAAGGAGCCTCTGCGGTGGGGAGCTGTGACTCGGTTTCAGGGGAAGTTAATCAGGTGCAGTGGAGAATTGCATCAGGTGCTGCTTTGAAGCAAACTGACACCGAAAACAGATTTTCTACTGCATTTCTATTAATGTGAATATCAGCCTTCCCTCCATTTCCTGACAAAACAATGTTTAACTTACAACAGAAAAAAATGCTACCAAAACGCTGATGAACTTTTATAAATCCCAGGTGACATTTTAAAGCTGCAGTAATTTACTGCAGCTTTAAAATTAAGACGTTATAAATAGTCAAATTAAACTGATTTTGATTTTACTGCAATCATAATGAAATGGAGAAAATACGACTACATTGATATGAAATCTTAATGACATTATTAAGCTGTTGTGAACTCTATAAGGAAATAGAATATAAAATCAAGACGTTTCAA